AAAAAAAAAAAAGAACATTCCCCCCACTTTATTTGACACCAGTAGAAAAATTGAAGGAATGATTTGATTAGGGAGCAGAGCTTAGAAAAGTTAAGTAACTTACCCAAGGTCAGCCTGTTTGCAGGTACCAAAACTTGGATTTGAATCTATGTCCATTGCCCACAAAGCCCATTTTTCCATTATATCATACTGACTCTTTTAGAAAGGCATGGTCCCTTTGATGGTACGGAACACCAGAAGCAAGAAGATTGGCTTGGGGCTATTATTATATAATATAATGGAATATTGAAGGCTTATTGTAATATGGTGGCCTTAAAGGTTGAGAGAAGAATTAGAGTCAAGATATAGATGAACAGGACCTAATGATAAATGAATTATATGAATTTGAAGGAGGAGTCACATATGATTTCTAGGTTTCTGTCTTTAGAAATAAGGTGGAAATGCCATTACAACTATAAAAGAAAATACAAGAAGTGGGACATGTTTAGGAGGAAGATATATTAGGTCATGTCTGATGCTTTTGAGACATTCTGTAAGTATCTGGAAATACAGATTTAGCACTCCGGACAATACATGAGAATAATTGGAGGTACTCATTTAGGAATCATCAGTATTTGTATTAAAAAAAAATATCAAGGAGATTGGAACTCCAGAGCACATGCCATTGTTTAAGTTATGAAAGAAATGCTACCTAAAAAAATAGAGAAAGATTGGTAGAGAGAACCAGGAAAGAGAGGGTCTCAAAAGCCAAGGAAGAAAATAATTAAAAGAAAAATGGATTCTATGAGGACACATTCAAAGAATTTGTGGTTGGCCAGACTGGCAAAGAAAGATTGAAGACTGATTTTTATCTCCAAAAAGTACATAAAGCAGTATAAAGAGATGAAAGCTAAATAAATGTTTGTTGTAATAGGAGAGATTATAAGAATTTCAGAATAATAAAATCCTGGAAATGGATCTAGTATCCAGGCTGGGCACAATGGCTGACGCCTGTAATCCTAGCATTCTGGGAGGATCGTTTGAGCTCAGGAGTTCGAGACAAGCCTAAGCAAGAGGGAGACCCCGTCTCTACCAGAAACAGGAAAATTTATCTGGGCATGGTGGTATAAGCCTGTAGTCCCAGCTACTCGGGAGGCTGAGGCAGGAGGATCGCTTGAGCCCAGGAGTTTGAGGTTGCTGTGAGCTAGGATGACGCCACGGCACTCTAGCCTGGGCAACACAGTGAGACTCTGTCTCAAAAAAAAAAAAAGAAAAACAAAGCAAGTAAGTGGGATAAGGAGTACGTGGCAGGGTGAGGGTTGCAGTTTTCAATAGGGTGGTCAGGTAGGCATTATTTATCAGGTTACATTTGAACAGTGACTAACTATACAGATTTTCCAGAGAAAGATCATTCCACTTCAGTGGTAACAGCAAGTTCAAAGGCCCTGGGAAAGAGCATGCCTGTATGTTTGAAAAACAACAGGATGCCAGTGTGGTTAGCCTCATCTATAAATAAAAACAATTGTATCCATCTCAAAGGGTTGTGTGCCCAGCATATTCTAACCACAGAGTGGGTACTCAATAAACGTTAGTTCCTTTTTTCTTTCTCACCTACAGCACTTAGCATGATACCTTACATGTAGTAAATGCTGATTAGGTTGAATTGAACTGACTTTTAATTGTTTAAAATATAAACTTAGTTTAACTATTCTATAAGGGAAAATCATGGCACTATCAATAAACCAGGTAAAGTGATACATTTAAGATAGTTTAAATTCTTTTATTGTTCAAAGAGGCTGCTAGACAAAATACAGGTTAGAAGGTAGTAAGAATGGTATCCAGTCTCCACCCCAGTTGCTCAGGCCTTTCTTCCCCAATGTCTCACACTCTGGACTCTTCTAGCTGCTCCCTTTCGTCCTGCAACTAACCAATCTGCATCTTGGTTTCTCAGGACTCTGCTGCTTAATCCAAGGAGTCCCAGGCTGATGTTCCCAAATCCCTAGGGGACCTACGAAAGTAATGATTGGAGTCTGCAACCTTTTGAACATTTCACAAAGTCAAATGGAATCCTGCACCACCCACAATAAGGCTGTAGAAGCTACCCCAAATACTAAATTTCTTTCTGAATCATATCACCTCCATATGTTACTCCATACTGACAGAAGACTGATTAAAACTTATATGTGTCTAATTTAAAAAAAAATTAAGAAATGTTTGTTTTGTCAATAACAAGAAGGAAAAAATCTTTCAAGACATGAGATTATGGTAGTGGGTAGAGATAACCAAAAGATTCTTTGGTGGTGAAAAATTTGCTATCAGCTATGCTGATAGGATGCCACCCCCTAGCCATGCCTAGCCATGTTCATCTAGAAACTATGAAAATACTCTTCATTGCCAGGAAGAAAATCTACAATCTTATCCAACAAAAGAACAGCTTTGCCATGCAGGTACAGCGTAACCCCTGCTGTGAGAGCCTGTGCCAGCTTTCCAGGGAGGGTGGCTTGGTGGAAAGAAAGCCATAGCTGCAGACAAAACATCTCATTATACAGTA